CCATCAGGTGCGGAAATCAGCTCCAGCTAGTAAGTGTTAATCCTTTGAAGGTCTTGTAGATATCAGGAGGCGGCCCCGGGTATTATTAGATAGTTGGACATTATTTTAGTCGTCAGTTCGATTGAAGGTTAATGTTAAATATACCAGAGTTAATGGTATATAATTTTTTACTGATACCCTGCCACTTTGAACACAATTACAGAGTTGTGGTGTTAATTGGCAAACACAAAGAGACAAAAGGAAATCATGTTTTAGTCCTTTATTACATACAGTAGCAGACTACCACGCCGCTCTACCACTAGTGCCCGTGTAAACTATACAACATTGTTACTGTGTTTCTGGCACCAACTCAACAAGAGATAAAGATGACTGTGAATCGAGTCTAGGCAGGAATAACCTGTCCAACAGCTTGTATAGGTTCGTGCCTGTGTAGGCTGGGTGAGGGAAGATCAGCTGATGGAGGTCATCTTGGACTGGGAAAAACACATATCATGTAAGACTGAAGATGTCTAGACGATGACTTTGGGTCTTCATATTATATAACACACGAGTGGAAACTTTGTTAGATACAATGATCAATGTTGGTCCAGCCTTTGTTCTTCCGCGAAGGTTAACTTTCAGTGAAATAAAAGGTCATAATTTGGGGCAATTAAATTGACCCAATATAATATCTCTTATGAAAGTTGTTCAAATAGGTTATGCATGAAAATAATGAAATAGTTGTTAATAGTTATTTTCCCAAAGTAGATTCTCATATCAAATGGCAGAAGAAGTCACTGACTGATACAAGCTAGTGAAAAATGAATTATTGAACCACCTGAAAACTAACACAGTTCCGTTTCCATCATCCTTGCCTTTTTGGTTGCGTTAGTCAACTCATTGTCCGCCTTCTATCGCTTGACTGACCGTATTTTTTAATGCATGAAGGAGTCATGTCAAGTAAATCTCATATATATATTACACAGGAAGACCATAACAACGTAATAGGAAGTCATGACTGATATTTTGACATTTAACTTGAATGAGAATCATCCTAGGAATTATAAATGTCACAAAAGTGATAACATAATAAGAAAATCTTCCATTTTTTACCAATATTTTATAATGTAAAGTTCTGTTGATCGGTGACCCAGCTGGCGGTCATGTGAGAGTTAATAAACACAAATAAAGACAAAGGAAGAGAGAAATGGTAGGCAAGAATCTATATTTTAATTGTATTTATTCATTATCCGTAAAACAAGAGTGGAAAAAACACCTTTGCTGCTAAATAAAGACTTTATACATAGAATTTCTAGAAGCATTTTCACATTAGGAGTGAACCATTAATTGGTAAATAATTTATTTTTATTAGGCAATTCATTGATAAGTTTCATAATTGGCCATTAACGATGGTTTTATATGTTTTAACCATACACTGGGGCAGGTCTATAGGCTGGGGTTGGCCTATAGGATGAGCCTGGACTGTAGGCAGGGAACTGAGCCTCGCCCTGGTAGGTGACATCGGCCACGTACCCAGACCCGCCGTCGACAGCGTAGGTCACCTGCTGCAGACGACCGTCGGGAAGGTGCACGTAGTACGACCCCTGGGTGTTGTCACCGTTACGATTCTCCTGGTGGCCGAAGTCGTTACCGGAAGGAGCGTCATTCACCGCCCAGTCGAAGCTGTACTGAGCAGGAGCCTGGGAGGAGGAGAGAACGGTGAGAAACTACACCTTTGGTGAGTAATTATCCTCACACATAATAAACGTCTTGGTACAGTCTTAACAGGGATTACATGTATGAAGAATAAGATTTGTAACTACAATATTCATTACTCACATAGGACGGGGTTGGCCTGTAGGAAGGGCCTGGGTTGAAGGAAGGGCCGGGGTTGAAGGAAGGGCCGGGATTGAAGCCATAACGGGGACCGGATGGGACAGCCACAGCGGCGGCCACCAGAGTGAGGGCGAGAACCACCTGTGTGAGGACAAAAATGATACTTAATCGTTCTAGTGTATCAAGGATACGCTATGTTATTTAATACAGGAAATGAATTGTTTACTTTTTAATTATATCATTTGGAATTACACACACATTCATTTTTAATTATTCCTATAATTCATTCTAAATATAGCTATACTTACAATGGTACTCTTGATTTCCTTTTTTTGCACGTTATCATAGTGATTTATACAGCTTTAAGTCACTTATAACAGCAGGGAACAAAAGTGTTGCAAATGACGACTTTTCTAAGTTGTTCTTCCAATGTTATGGAGGATGAAAACATTTAATGGGACGTGTTTCACCTCGCCTTACTCATCATCAATTAATGTATATAATAATTTAGTGATATGAACAACTCGATGTTTTGATGCACTCGAGGAGGATGAAGAAAAGTGAATGAGGGAGAAAATGAGTTAGAGTTTTACCTTCATGATGTTGATGATGCTGGTGAAGAAGTCAGTGAGTGAGTGTGGTCATCTCAGACACCTCACCACTTATATACCTACCGAGGAATCTGGGCGGTTCCTCACCAAGGTCGATAAAACTGGTTTAAAATTAATATGAGAAGACTGTCACGTTGAGGGAGACTAAAGAGGTTGTCGAGATGCTCAATAAGAAGTGTTATCAATAGGGTCAAGCTTGTGCAAGACCAACACACATTATACAAAATTTTTCAGCTAAAGTTTCCATTCATTCTCTCATAACTGGTAAATTGTTCATATTAATACACGATTGTGAATATAAGAGAAAAAATAGTGTTATAAGAGTCATATTTATGGAGGTCGTGTCTGGGTTTACTGTATAAAACGATAATGGTTAATACTGACTCTGATTCTTTCTTAAGTAGACAGGAGCTTCATATTTCCATAACTCACCATCATCGGCTTCCTGTACAGCATCTTATAAGGAGTTATCCCTCTCCCGTGTTTCATAATTCTACAGGAAGGTACCGATCAAAATTTATTACTATCATTGTTAATAGTAGTGGTATTAGTAGTGGTAGTGGTAGTGGTAGTGGTAATAGTAGTGGTAGTGGTAGTGGCAGTGGTAGTGGTACTGGTAGTGGTAGTGGTTGTGATTGTGGTCGTGGTAGTGGTAATGGAAGTGGTACTGGTAGTGATTGTGGTTGTGGTAGTGGTAGTGATTGTGAAGAGGCATTTGTGATTGGTTGTGGCAGTGATTGTGGTAGTGGTAGTGGTAGGTAAGTAGGAGTAGGTGCATTGACTATGGTAATAGTAGTGGTATGGCATTGATTATGGTAATAAGAGTGCAGTGGTATTGATTATTATAGTGGTAGTGGTAGTGACTGTGGTGCTTCCCTGATTCTCCTAGCACGCCCACACACCATCCACGCCCATATGGTCTGAAGTGTCCGTGAGGTCTTGTGTTTATAGAGGTCTGTCAAACATAAGCAACACCACTCCATAACTTCTACCAATCGTCACTAGTACAAAGGATGCTGTATCTTATGGATGAACGGTGCTAGTTATACGGGATGGCACAAGGCCTGTCTTCGTCTCATCCACCCACTCTACTGGTGACCAATGGTACGGTAATGGTGTCTTGATGGTTTGTTAAATGTTTGGTGATTGGTTGAGGACAATGACCAGGTTGCCATCAGGTGCGGAAATCAGCTCCAGCTAGTAAGTGTTAATCCTTTGAAGGTCTTGTAGATATCAGGAGGCGGCCCCGGGTATTATTAGATAGTTGGACATTATTTTAGTCGTCAGTTCGATTGAAGGTTAATGTTAAATATACCAGAGTTAATGGTATATAATTTTTTACTGATACCCTGCCACTTTGAACACAATTACAGAGTTGTGGTGTTAATTGGCAAACACAAAGAGACAAAAGGAAATCATGTTTTAGTCCTTTATTACATACAGTAGCAGACTACCACGCCGCTCTACCACTAGTGCCCGTGTAAACTATACAACATTGTTACTGTGTTTCTGGCACCAACTCAACAAGAGATAAAGATGACTGTGAATCGAGTCTAGGCAGGAATAACCTGTCCAACAGCTTGTATAGGTTCGTGCCTGTGTAGGCTGGGTGAGGGAAGATCAGCTGATGGAGGTCATCTTGGACTGGGAAAAACACATATCATGTAAGACTGAAGATGTCTAGACGATGACTTTGGGTCTTCATATTATATAACACACGAGTGGAAACTTTGTTAGATACAATGATCAATGTTGGTCCAGCCTTTGTTCTTCCGCGAAGGTTAACTTTCAGTGAAATAAAAGGTCATAATTTGGGGCAATTAAATTGACCCAATATAATATCTCTTATGAAAGTTGTTCAAATAGGTTATGCATGAAAATAATGAAATAGTTGTTAATAGTTATTTTCCCAAAGTAGATTCTCATATCAAATGGCAGAAGAAGTCACTGACTGATACAAGCTAGTGAAAAATGAATTATTGAACCACCTGAAAACTAACACAGTTCCGTTTCCATCATCCTTGCCTTTTTGGTTGCGTTAGTCAACTCATTGTCCGCCTTCTATCGCTTGACTGACCGTATTTTTTAATGCATGAAGGAGTCATGTCAAGTAAATCTCATATATATATTACACAGGAAGACCATAACAACGTAATAGGAAGTCATGACTGATATTTTGACATTTAACTTGAATGAGAATCATCCTAGGAATTATAAATGTCACAAAAGTGATAACATAATAAGAAAATCTTCCATTTTTTACCAATATTTTATAATGTAAAGTTCTGTTGATCGGTGACCCAGCTGGCGGTCATGTGAGAGTTAATAAACACAAATAGAGACAAAGGAAGAGAGAAATGGTAGGCAAGAATCTATATTTTAATTGTATTTATTCATTATCCGTAAAACAAGAGTGGAAAAAACACCTTTGCTGCTAAATAAAGACTTTATACATAGAATTTCTAGAAGCATTTTCACATTAGGAGTGAACCATTAATTGGTAAATAATTTATTTTTATTAGGCAATTCATTGATAAGTTTCATAATTGGCCATTAACGATGGTTTTATATGTTTTAACCATACACTGGGGCAGGTCTATAGGCTGGGGTTGGCCTATAGGATGAGCCTGGACTGTAGGCAGGGAACTGAGCCTCGCCCTGGTAGGTGACATCGGCCACGTACCCAGACCCGCCGTCGACAGCATAGGTCACCCGCTGCAGACGACCGTCGGGAAGGTGCACGTAGTACGACCCCTGGGTGTTGTCACCGTTACGATTCTCCTGGTGGCCGAAGTCGTTACCGGAAGGAGCGTCATTCACCGCCCAGTCGAAGCTGTACTGAGCAGGAGCCTGGGAGGAGGAGAGAACGGTGAGAAACTACACCTTTGGTGAGTAATTATCCTCACACATAATAAACGTCTTGGTACAGTCTTAACTGGGATTACATGTATGAAGAATAAGATTTGTAACTACAATATTCATTACTCACATAGGACGGGGTTGGCCTGTAGGAAGGGCCGGGGTTGAAGCCATAACGGGGACCGGATGGGGCAGCCACAGCGGCGGCCACCAGAGTCAGTGCGAGAACCACCTGTGTGAGGACAAAATTGATACTTAATCGTTCTAGTGTATCAAGGATACGCTATGTTATTTTATACAGGAAATGAATTGTTTACTTTTTAATTATATCATTTGGAATTACACACATTCATTTTTAATTATTCCTATAATTCATTCTAAATATAGCTATACTTACAATGGTACTCTTGATTTCCTTTTTTTGCACGTTATCATAGTGATTTATACAGCTTTAAGTCACTTATAACAGCAGGGAACAAAAGTGTTGCAAATGACGACTTTTCTAAGTTGTTCTTCCAATGTTATGGAGGATGAAAACATTTAATGGGATGTGTTTCACCTCGCCTTACTCATTATCAATTAATGTATATAATAATTTAGTGATATGAACAACTCGATGTTTTGATGCACTCGAGGAGGATGAAGAAAAGTGAATGAGGGAGAAAATGAGTTAGAGTTTTACCTTCATGATGTTGATGATGCTGGTGAAGAAGTCAGTGAGTGAGTGTGGTCATCTCAGACACCTCACCACTTATATACCTACCGAGGAATCTGGGCGGATCCTCACCAAGGTCGATAAAACTGGTTTAAAATTAATATGAGAAGACTGTCACGTTGAGGGAGACTAAAGAGGTTGTCGAGATGCCCAATAAGAAGTGTTATCAATAGGGTCAAGCTTGTGCAAGACCACCACACATTATACAAAATTTTCTGCTAAAATTACCATTCTTTCTCTCATAACTGGTAAATTGTTCATATTAATACAAGATTGTGAATATAAGAGAAAAAATTGTGTTAGAAGAGTCATATTTATGGAGGTCGTGTCTGGGTTTACTGTATAAGACGATAATGGTTAATACTGACTCTGATTCAGCCTTAAGTAGACAGGAGCTTCATATTTCCATAACTCACCATCATCGGCTTCCTGTACAGCATCTTATAAGGAGTTATCCCTCTCCCGTGTTTCATAATTCTACAGGAAGGTACCGATCAAAATTTACTACTATCATTATTAGTTGTAGTGGTAAAAGTAGTGGTAGTGGTAGTGGTAGTGGTAATAGTAGTGGTAGTGGTAGTGGCAGTGGTAGTGGTGCTGGTAGTGAATGTGGAAGTGGTAGTGGTAGTGGAAGTGGTACTGGTAGTGATTGTGGTAGTGGTAGTGGTAGTGAGGTAGTGGTAGAGGTAGTGGTGAGTGAGTTGTGGTAGTGGTGAGTGATTGTGGAAGAGGCATTTGTGATTGGTTGTGGCAGTGATTGTGGTGAGTGGTGAGTGGTGAGTGGTAGCGGTGGGAGTGAGTGTGACTATGGTAATGGTAGTGGTAGTGAGTATTGATTATGGTGTAATAAGAGTGGTAGTGGTATTGATTATTATAGTGGTAGTGGTAGGTGACTGTGGTGCTTCCCGATTCTCCTAGCACGCCCACCATCCACCCATATGGTCCCAAGTGTCCCGTGAGGTCTTGTGTTTATAGAGGTCTGTCAAGCATAAGCAGCACCACCCATAACTTACCAATCGTCACTGAGTACAGGATGCTGTACCTTATGGATGAACGGTGCTAGTTATACGGGATGGCACAAGGCCTGTCTTCGTCTCATCCACCCACTCTACTGGTGACCAATGGTACGGTAATGGTGTCTTGATGGTTTGTTAAATGTTTGGTGATTGGTTGAGGACAATGACCAGGCTGCCATCAGGTGCGGAAATCAGCTCCAGCTAGTAAGTGTTAATCCTTTGAAGGGCTTGTAGATATCAGGAGGCGGCCCCGGGTATTATTAGATAGTTGGACATTATTTTAGTCGTCAGTTCGATTAAAGGTTAATGTTAAATAAACCAGAGTTAATGGTATATAAATTTTTACTGATACCCTGCCACTTTGATTACAATTACAGAGTTGTGGTGTTAATTGGCAAACACAAAGAGACAAAAGGAAAACATGTTTCAGTCCTTTATTACATACAGTAGCAGACTACCGCACCACTCGACCATTAGTGTCCGTGTAAACTATACAACATTGTTACTTTGTTTCTGGCACCAACTCAACATGAGATAAAGATGACTCTCAATGTAGTCTAGGCAGGAATAACCTGTCCAACAGGTTGTCTAAGTTCGTGCCTGTGTAGACTGGGTGAGGGAAGATCAGCTGATGGAGGTCATCTTGAACTGAGGAAAAACACATATCATGTAAGACTGAAGATGTCTAGACGATGACTCTGTGTCTTCATATTATATAACACACGAGTGGAAACTTTGTTAGATACAATGATCAATGTTGGTTCAGCCTTTGTTCTTCCGCGAAGGTTAACTTTCAGTGAAATAAAAGGTCATAATTTGGGGCAATTAAATTGACCCAATATAATATCTCTTATGAAAGTTGTTCAAATAGGTTATGCATGAAAATAATGAAATAGTTGTTAATAGTTATTTTCCCAAAGTAGATTCTCATATCAAATGGCAGAAGAAGTCACTGACTGATACAAGCTAGTGAAAAATGAATTATTGAACCACCTGAAAACTAACACAGTTCCGTTTCCATCATCCTTGCCTTTTTGGTTGCGTTAGTCAACTCATTGTCCGCCTTCTATCGCTTGACTGACCGTATTTTTTAATGCATGAAGGAGTCATGTCAAGTAAAACTCATATATATATTACACAGGAAGACCATAACAACGTAATAGGAAGTCATGACTGATATTTTGACATTTAACTTGAATGAGAATCATCCTAGGAATTATAAATGTCACAAAAGTGATAACATAATAAGAAAATCTTCCATTTTTTACCAATATTTTATAATGTAAAGTTCTGTTGATCGGTGACCCAGCTGGCGGTCATGTGAGAGTTAATAAACACAAATAGAGACAAAGGAAGAGAGAAATGGTAGGCAAGAATCTATATTTTAATTGTATTTATTCATTATCCGTAAAACAAGAGTGGAAAAAACACCTTTGCTGCTAAATAAAGACTTTATACATAGAATTTCTAGAAGCATTTTCACATTAGGAGTGAACCATTAATTGGTAAATAATTTATTTTTATTAGGCATTTCATTGATAAGTTTCATAATTGGCCATTAACGATGGTTTTATATGTTTTAACCATACACTGGGGCAGGTCTATAGGCTGGGGTTGGCCTATAGGATGAGCCTGGACTGTAGGCAGGGAACTGAGCCTCGCCCTGGTAGGTGACATCGGCCACGTACCCAGACCCGCCGTCGACAGCGTAGGTCACCTGCTGCAGACGACCGTCGGGAAGGTGCACGTAGTACGACCCCTGGGTGTTGTCACCGTTACGATTCTCCTGGTGGCCGAAGTCGTTACCGGAAGGAGCGTCATTCACCGCCCAGTCGAAGCTGTACTGAGCAGGAGCCTGGGAGGAGGAGAGAACGGTGAGAAACTACACCTTTGGTGAGTAATTATCCTCACACATAATAAACGTCTTGGTACAGTCTTAACTGGGATTACATGTATGAAGAATAAGATTTGTAACTACAATATTCATTACTCACATAGGACGGGGTTGGCCTGTAGGAAGGGCCGGGGTTGAAGCCATAACGGGGACCGGATGGGGCAGCCACAGCGGCGGCCACCAGAGTCAGTGCGAGAACCACCTGTGTGAGGACAAAAATGATACTTAATCGTTCTAGTGTATCAAGGATACGCTATGTTATTTAATACAGGAAATGAATTGTTTACTTTTTAATTATATCATTTGGAATTACACACACATTCATTTTTAATTATTCCTATAATTCATTCTAAATATAACTATACTTACAATGATACTCTTGATTTCCTTTGTTTGCACGTTATCATAGTGGTTTATACATCTTTAATTCACTTATAACAGCAGGGAACAAAAGTGTTGCAAATGACGACTTTTCTAAGTTGTTCTTCCAATGTTATGAAGGATGAAAACATTTAATGGGATGTGTTTCACCTCGCCTTACTCATTATCAATTAATGTATATAATAATTTAGTGATATGAACAACTCGATGTTTTGATGCACTCGAGGAGGATGTAGAAAAGTCAATGAGGGAGAAAATGAGTTAGAGTTTTACCTTCATGATGTTGATGATGCTGGTGAAGAAGTCAGTGAGTGAGTGTGGTCATCTCAGACACCTCACCACTTATATACCTACCGAGGAATCTGGGCGGTTCCTCACCAAGGTCGATAAAACTGGTTTAAAATTAATATCAGAAGACTGTCACGTTGAGGGAGACTAAAGAGGTTGTCGGGATGCTCAATAAGAAGTGTTATCAATAGGGTCAAGCTTGTGCAAGACCACCACACATTATACAAAATTTTCTGCTAAAATTACCATTCATTCTCTCATAACTGGTAAATTGTTCATATTAATACACGATTGTGAATATAAGAGAAAAAATAGTGTTAGAAGAGTCATATTTTTGGAGGTCGTGTCTGGGTTTACTGTATAAGACGATAATGGTTAATACTGACTCTGATTCATCCTCAAGTAGACAGGACCTTCATACTTCCATAACTCACCATCATCGGCTTCCTGGACAGCATCTTATAAGGAGTTATCCCTCTCCCGTGTTTCATAATTCTACAGGAAGGTACCGATCAAAATTTACTACTATCATTATTAGTTGTAGTGGTAAAAGTAGTGGTAGTGGTAGTGGTAGTGGTAATAGTAGTGGTAGTGGTAGTGGCAGTGGTAGTGGTACTGGTAGTGAATGTGGTAGTGGTAGTGGTGAAGGTAGTGTAGAGGTGGTGGTAGTGTGGTGGTGGTGGGGGGTGTGGTGGTAGTGGTGGGGTGGTGGTAGTGGTTGTGGTGGTGGTGGTGATTGTGGGCATTTGTGATTGGTTGTGGCAGTGATTGTGGTAGTGGTAGTGGTAGTACAGGCGGTAGAGATGATGTGTTCATTGTTACTGGTAATAGTAGTGTGGTGGTCATTAGTTATGAGTAATAAGAGTGTTAGTGGTATTGATTATTATAATAGTGGTGATGGTAGTGACCATTGGTGCTTCGATTCTCCTAGCACTGCCCACACCATCCACGCCCTTATGGTCAAGTGTCCGTGAGGTCTTGTGTTTATAGGGGTCTGTCAAACATAAGCAGCACCACCCATAACTTACCAATCATTCACTAGTACAAAGGATGCTGTACCTTATGGATGAACGGTGCTAGTTATACGGGATGGCACAAGGCCTGTCTTCGTCTCATCCACCCACTCTACTGGTGACCAATGGTACGGTAATGGTGTCTTGATGGTTTGTTAAATGTTTGGTGATTGGTTGAGGACAATGACCAGGTTGCCATCAGGTGCGGAAATCAGCTCCAGCTAGTAAGTGTTAATCCTTTGAAGGTCTTGTAGATATCAGGAGGCGGCCCCGGGTATTATTAGATAGTTGGACATTATTTTAGTCGTCAGTTCGATTGAAGGTTAATGTTAAATATACCAGAGTTAATGGTATATAATTTTTTACTGATACCCTGCCACTTTGAACACAATTACAGAGTTGTGGTGTTAATTGGCAAACACAAAGAGACAAAAGGAAATCATGTTTTAGTCCTTTATTACATACAGTAGCAGACTACCACGCCGCTCTACCACTAGTGCCCGTGTAAACTATACAACATTGTTACTGTGTTTCTGGCACCAACTCAACAAGAGATAAAGATGACTGTGAATCGAGTCTAGGCAGGAATAACCTGTCCAACAGCTTGTATAGGTTCGTGCCTGTGTAGGCTGGGTGAGGGAAGATCAGCTGATGGAGGTCATCTTGGACTGGGAAAAACACATATCATGTAAGACTGAAGATGTCTAGACGATGACTTTGGGTCTTCATATTATATAACACACGAGTGGAAACTTTGTTAGATACAATGATCAATGTTGGTCCAGCCTTTGTTCTTCCGCGAAGGTTAACTTTCAGTGAAATAAAAGGTCATAATTTGGGGCAATTAAATTGACCCAATATAATATCTCTTATGAAAGTTGTTCAAATAGGTTATGCATGAAAATAATGAAATAGTTGTTAATAGTTATTTTCCCAAAGTAGATTCTCATATCAAATGGCAGAAGAAGTCACTGACTGATACAAGCTAGTGAAAAATGAATTATTGAACCACCTGAAAACTAACACAGTTCCGTTTCCATCATCCTTGCCTTTTTGGTTGCGTTAGTCAACTCATTGTCCGCCTTCTATCGCTTGACTGACCGTATTTTTTAATGCATGAAGGAGTCATGTCAAGTAAATCTCATATATATATTACACAGGAAGACCATAACAACGTAATAGGAAGTCATGACTGATATTTTGACATTTAACTTGAATGAGAATCATCCTAGGAATTATAAATGTCACAAAAGTGATAACATAATAAGAAAATCTTCCATTTTTTACCAATATTTTATAATGTAAAGTTCTGTTGATCGGTGACCCAGCTGGCGGTCATGTGAGAGTTAATAAACACAAATAGAGACAAAGGAAGAGAGAAATGGTAGGCAAGAATCTATATTTTAATTGTATTTATTCATTATCCGTAAAACAAGAGTGGAAAAAACACCTTTGCTGCTAAATAAAGACTTTATACATAGAATTTCTAGAAGCATTTTCACATTAGGAGTGAACCATTAATTGGTAAATAATTTATTTTTATTAGGCAATTCATTGATAAGTTTCATAATTGGCCATTAACGATGGTTTTATATGTTTTAACCATACACTGGGGCAGGTCTATAGGCTGGGGTTGGCCTATAGGATGAGCCTGGACTGTAGGCAGGGAACTGAGCCTCGCCCTGGTAGGTGACATCGGCCACGTACCCAGACCCGCCGTCGACAGCGTAGGTCACCTGCTGCAGACGACCGTCGGGAAGGTGCACGTAGTACGACCCCTGGGTGTTGTCACCGTTACGATTCTCCTGGTGGCCGAAGTCGTTACCGGAAGGAGCGTCATTCACCGCCCAGTCGAAGCTGTACTGAGCAGGAGCCTGGGAGGAGGAGAGAACGGTGAGAAACTACACCTTTGGTGAGTAATTATCCTCACACATAATAAACGTCTTGGTACAGTCTTAACTGGGATTACATGTATGAAGAATAAGATTTGTAACTACAATATTCATTACTCACATAGGACGGGGTTGGCCTGTAGGAAGGGCCGGGGTTGAAGCCATAACGGGGACCGGATGGGGCAGCCACAGCGGCGGCCACCAGAGTCAGTGCGAGAACCACCTGTGTGAGGACAAAATTGATACTTAATCGTTCTAGTGTATCAAGGATACGCTATGTTATTTTATACAGGAAATGAATTGTTTACTTTTTAATTATATCATTTGGAATTACACACATTCATTTTTAATTATTCCTATAATTCATTCTAAATATAGCTATACTTACAATGGTACTCTTGATTTCCTTTTTTTGCACGTTATCATAGTGATTTATACAGCTTTAAGTCACTTATAACAGCAGGGAACAAAAGTGTTGCAAATGACGACTTTTCTAAGTTGTTCTTCCAATGTTATGGAGGATGAAAACATTTAATGGGACGTGTTTCACCTCGCCTTACTCATCATCAATTAATGTATATAATAATTTAGTGATATGAACAACTCGATGTTTTGATGCACTCGAGGAGGATGAAGAAAAGTGAATGAGGGAGAAAATGAGTTAGAGTTTTACCTTCATGATGTTGATGATGCTGGTGAAGAAGTCAGTGAGTGAGTGTGGTCATCTCAGACACCTCACCACTTATATACCTACCGAGGAATCTGGGCGGTTCCTCACCAAGGTCGATAAAACTGGTTTAAAATTAATATCAGAAGACTGTCACGTTGAGGGAGACGAAATAGGTTGTCGAGATGCTCAATAAGAAGTGTTATCAATAGGGTCAAGCTTGTGCAAGACCACCACACATTATACAAAATTTTCTGCTAAAATTACCATTCATTCTCTCATAACTGGTAAATTGTTCATAATAATACACGATTGTGAATATAAGAGAAAAAAATTGTGTTAGAAGAGTCATATTTTTGGAGGTCGTGTCTGGGTTTACTGTATAAGACGATAATGGTTAATACTGACTCTGACTCAGCCTCAAGTAGACAGGGACTTCATACTTCCATAACTCACCATCATCGGCTTCCTGTACAGCATCTTATAAGGAGTTATCCCTCTCCCGTGTTTCATAATTCTACAGGAAGGTACCGATCAAAATTTACTACTATCATTATTAGTTGTAGTGGTAAAAGTAGTGGTAGTGGTAGTGGTAGTGGTAATAGTAGTGGTAGTGGTAGTGGCAGTGGTAGTGGTACTGGTAGTGATTGTGGTAGTGGTAGTGGTAGTGGAAGTGGTACTGGTAGTGATTGTGGTAGTGGTAGTGGTAGTGGTAGTGGTATCCCCAATGCCGACAACTGCTTCAGATATTGACTATGAGGCTACAGTCGCTGAATGCCGCATAGATCTGCGGCTCAACTAATTCAACACTGATAGGATAGCTACTTTTGTATTAGGATATTTAATATTAAGGTAATAAAATGGCGGCGAAGTGTGGCTATTGGGGGACGCTGGAAGCCACGTATAAAAAAAAAGTGGTATTTGTGGTAGTAGTAGTAGTTGTAGTAGTAATCGTAGCAGTAGTAGTACTTGTGGTATTAGTGATTCTTCTCAAATCTCCTAGCACGCCCAGACCATCCACGCGCACATTATCTAAGTGTCCGAGTGATCTTGTGTTTATAGGAGTCCCTCAACCTAAATTAACACTATCCTAACTTACTGACCATCACTAGTACACGGGATAATGTACAGTCGGGGTCAAAAGTCTTGAACACTTAGCAATATCTGGCATCTACTTGTGAGCTATACATATATGATTGGGATATACTAATAACACAACTTGTCATCACATATTATGCCTGAACCACAAGATGGGATAAAAGTCTCCTTAATACCTAAAATCTTCGGGTACTTACATGCCAAATACTGTCAAGTGTTCAAGACTTTTGACCCCGACTGTATCTTATGGATGAACGGTGCTAGTTATACGGGATGGCGCAAGGCACAAGGCCTGTCTTCGTCTCATCCACAACTCTACTGGTGACCAATGGTACGGTAATGGTGTCTTGATGGTTTGTTAAATGTTTGGTGATTGGTTGAGGACAATGACCAGGCTGCCATCAGGTGCGGAAATCAGCTCCAGCTAGTAAGTGTTAATCCTTTGAAGGGCTTGTAGATATCAGGAGGCGGCCCCGGGTATTATTAGATAGTTGGACATTATTTTAGTCGTCAGTTCGATTAAAGGTTAATGTTAAATAAACCAGAGTTAATGGTATATAAATTTTTACTGATACCCTGCCACTTTGAACACAATTACAGAGTTGTGGTGTTAATTGGCAAACACAAAGAGACAAAAGGAATTCATGTTTTAGTCCTTTATTACATACAGTAGCAGACTACCACGCCGCTCTACCACTAGTGTCCGTGTAAACTATATAACATTGTTACTGTGTTTCTGGCAACAAGTCAACATGAGATAATGATGACTGTGAATGGAGTCTAGGCAAGAATAACCTGTCCAACAGCTTGTATAGGTTCGTGCCTGTGTAGACTGGGTGAGGGAAGGTCAGCTGATGGAGGTCATCTTGGACGGGAAAAAAACATATCATGTAAGACTGAAGATGTCTAGACGATGACTTTGGGTCTTCATATTATATAACACACGAGTAGAAACTTTGTTAGTTACAATGATCAATGTTGGTCCAGCCTTTGTTCTTCCTCGAAGGTTAACTTTCAGTGAAATAAAAGGTCATAATTTGGGGGTAATTAAAATGACCTAATATAATAATGAAATAATTTTTATTGTTATCCTCCCAAAGTAGATTTTCATATCACGACATAAAAAGTCAGTTTCTAATACAAGCCAATAAAAAATGGATCATAAATTCGGTGAAAATTAACACAGATCTTTCTCCATCATCATTGTCTTTTTGGTTGCGTTAGTCAACTCCATGTCCGCATTTTTTTATGCGCGAAGGAGTCATGTCAACTACATTCCATTATATATTATGAAGGAGGACCATAACAACGTAAAAAGAAGCCATGACTAAAACTTTGATATTTAACTTGAATGATAATCATGCCAGTGACGTATAAATGTCATGTCTGTTGCATTTTGTTGAACCATTTTAAAAAAGTGAAAGAATAATAAGAAAATCTTCTAAGTTGTGTTGATCGGTGACCCAGCTGGTGGTCACGTGATAAATAATAAACACAAATAGAGACAAAGAGGGAGAGAGATAGGGTAGATAATAATCTATTTGTTAATTATATTTATTCATTATTCAAAAAACAAACGAGGAAAAAACACCTTTGGTGCTAAATATTGACTTTATACATAGAATTAATGAAAGCATTTTCACAATAGGAGTGAACCATTAATTGGTGCATAATTTACTTATATTCGGGAAATTATTAATAAGTTTCATAATTGGTCATTAACGATGGTTTTATATGTTTCAACCATACACTGGGGCAGGTCTATAGGCTGGGGTTGGCCTATAGGCTGATCCTGGACTGTAGGTAGGGAACTGAGCCTCGCCCTGGTAGGTGACATCGGCCACGTACCCAGAGCCGCCGTCGACAGTGTAGGTCACCTGCTGCAGACGACCGTCGGGAAGGTGCACGTAGTACGATCCCTGGGTGTTGTCACCGTTACGACTCTCCTGATGGCCAAAGTCGTTACCGGAGGGAGCGTCATTCACCGCCCAGTCGAAGGTGTACTGAGCAGGAGCCTGGGAGGAGGAGAGAACGGTGAGAAACTACACTTCTGATGAGTAATTATCCTCACACATTATAAACGTCTTGGTACAGTCTTAACAGGGATTACATGTATGAAGAATGTGATTTGTATCTACAGTATTCATTACTCACATAGGACGGGGTTGGCCTGTAGGAAGGGCCGGGGTTGAAGGAAGGGCCGGGGTTGAAGCCATAACGGGGACCGGATGGGGAAGCCATACCGGCGGCCACCAGAGTCAGGGCGAGAACCACCTGTGTGATGAAAAAAAATATACTTAATCTTTCTAGTTTATCAAGGATCCTGTGATCAGGTTCCAAAGATTAAATCTGGTTGATACATCAGAATATGAAACGTTATGTTTTACAGTAAATGAATTGTTTACTTTTTACTTATATTATTGAAAACTACATACACGTTTAGAGATAATTATTCCTATAATTCACTGTACTTACAATGATACCTTTGATTTGCTTTGTTTACTCATTCTCATAATCTTTACTACTAGTGGTTTATACAGCTGTAAGTCACTTATTACAGCAGGAAACAAAAGTGATACAGGTGAAGGCTTTTCTAAGTTGTTCTTCCAATGTTATGGAGGATGTAAACATTTAATGGGATGTGTTTAACCTCTCCTTACTCATTATCACTATTGATGTATAATAATGATTTGACGCTAATAAAGAACTCGGTGTTTTGATACACACTCGAGGAGGATGAAGAAAAGTGAATGAGGGAGAAAATTAGTTATAGTTTTACCTTCATGATGTTGATGATGCTGGTGAA